CTGGACTCAGGTGATCCTTCTGCCTCAGCCTTCCAAGTAGCTGGAACTACAGGCACACGCTGCCACGCCCAGCTAATTTTCTGATTTATTGTAGAGATGAGGTCTTGACAAGTTACCTAAGCTGCTCTCAAACCTGTGGGCTCAGGCAATTGCCTTACCTCAGCCTCCCAAAGTGCTGGGATTACAGTCTTGAGCCACTGCCCCTGGCTGTATTTTTAATTCTGAAATGACTGTGTCCTGTATCAATGAACTCCTTCACTGAGGCCACCTGTACAAGTCTCTGAGGGACTTCTATTTGTCTAACCTCTCAGAGAAACAAGTTATAGGGACTATGAGTAAAGGAACATTAAAGAAAAATCTAGGCACCACTTAATTTTTTTTCCAATTCAATGGTTAATAAAAATCAGCCTGGTTGCAGTGACTCATGCCTATCACCCCAGCATTTCTGGAGGCTGAAGTGGGAGGATTTAAGACCAGCCTGAGTGACATAGTGAGACCTCGTCTCTACAAAAATAAATAAATAGCAATTTAAAAAATTGCCGGCCCTGGTAGTCCCAGCTACTTGGGAGGCCGAGGTGGAAGGATCTCCCGAACTCAGGAGGTCGAGGATGCAATGAGTCATGATCATACCCCTGTACCCTAGCCTGAATGACAGAGTCAGACACCAAGTCAAAAAAAAGGATAATAATATTCAATACATTATTTATTTAGGCCCTTTGCCTTTCTTAAACCAACACTAAAGAATGTTTCAGAAATTCTGTGTAGAGGACAGTTATAAAATTAACAGTTACTAACAACTTACTACATAGCAGTTCATATCTTGTAGTTGCTTTACTCACAGGATTTCAGGTATTAGTTTTCCTTTTCTACTGTCAAGGAAACTGAGGCTTGTGAAGACTTAGAAACCTCTCAAAAATCACAAGGAGCTGCTGTCTGGCTCCCTAACCGGTGCCTCTCTACACTCATCTGCTTCCTAAATGTGGTCCCATTTTCAACCAGAATAGTAATAAGGCAATTAAAAATAGAAGTTGAGCCAATATGGGTTGCATTTTTATAAATTTTTAGTTCCTATTTTTTTTTGAGTTGGAGTCTCACTCTATCGCCCAGACTGGAGTGCAGTGGCCGCTCCCGGCCACCGCAGCCTCCACCTGCTGGGCTCAGTCTTCCAAGTAGCTGGAACTACAGGCACGCGCTACCACACCCGACTAATTTTTGATTTATTGTAGAGATGAGGTCTCGCCAAGTTGCCCAGGCGGGTCTCAAACCCGCAGGCTCAGGCATTCCACTCACCTCAGCCTCTCAAAGGCGCGGGATTACAGGCTGAGCCACCGAGCCCGGCTTAGTTCCTATTTTTTAAAAAACATTCATACTCTCATCAAATTCACCAGACAAAGCCTTGACATATAAAAGGCATCTTCTTAGGAAGACTGATGAGAGAAATTAAGAATTTGACTAGGAAAGAGCAGTTCTCATGGATTTGAAATATTATAGGAATTCAGGTCAAGATGGTAGCTGAGTACACAATTCTTCTTCCCTTCCTTTCCAAGATCTTACTGAAATAACAGGCACTTTAAACAAACACACCAACAAACAGGAACACCCTAGAAAACAAGAAAGGGTAAATAACAGACAAGTAATACTGAAGAAGTTCTTAGAAGAAAAAAGAAAGTGGCTGTAGGTTGATGGAGAACCAGAGCAGAGAATATCTCAGGCCAAGACCAGAAGGTAATAAGCAAGTTTCTTCCAAAGGGGATCCCTGAGATGCTTCTAGCTGGACTCAGCCAGAGAAGAGGGATTGAGGGCTGTCATCAGAATAGGTCAAGGAGTGAACTTGGAACAGCTGGTCGCAGGGCCCTTCCTCGCCCCTTAGACAGAGCAGCCGGCAGCAGTGGTTTTTATTTCCAAATGAAGCCCAAAGAAGGGCTTTCTGAAAATAGTGGGGGCACTGGCCTTGGGAGGTCTGAGCACTGAAAGAGAAGTAGAGCAGGGAATGGGTCCACTCAGTGTTTGCTCAGCAGGACTGGATGAGAAAGCAGTAAGAGACGTGCCACCCACTGAGAACTCCAGCCAGGCCCTCCAGAGTCCTCATCCTAACAGCAGTAATAGTGGAGTTGCCCAGATCAGCCGCTCTTCTCCCAGACACTCCGTCGGAAGAGGCTGTTAGCCCCACCCTCTGTACAGGAATCACTTTCAACTCTCCTGTGCAAGCTCTGTTAGGAAACAGAACCAGTCAGCTGCAGGGGGATTCCGCTCATTTATAAATATCAATGGGGCCAGGAGCAGTGACTCACACTGGAAATTCCAGTACTTTGGGTGGCTGAGGTGAGAGGATTGCTTGAATCCAGACCAGCCTGGGCAACAAAGCAAGACCTCAGCCCCCCCAAATATTTAAACATTAGCCAGGTGTTGTGGCACATGCCTGTAGTTCCAAGGCTGAGGCAGAAGAATCATCTGAGCCTAGGAGTTCAAGGCTACGGTGAGTATGATCGTGCCACTGCACTCCAACCTGGGTGACAGCGTAAGACTCTGACCCAATACGTAAGTGCGGAGGTCCAGCCTCCACAGAGCGGGGCCTGCGGCGGAGGGAGGGAATGAGAAAGAAAGACAAGAGATAGCGGGATTGGGAGGTCTCTCTCCTCAATAGGTGAGAGCCTGTTTATTATTTAGCATGCTTCTTATATAGGGCAAAACTAGGGCAAAGCTGTACAAGGGATTAGTGTAAAAACAAGCAATATCAGCTTTTGGGCCAGGCATCCGGGCCAGGTGTGATTGACTTCATGTCGCTTTGCTTTATTATAAAGTAACAAATCAAGGTTAGGGGAGATGAGCGAACCACAGTGGAATTATGTTGTTACTAGAAGGTGAGCTGTTCTGT